TATACACACATTTCTCTTTATTAAAAAAAAAATACCATGAAGTATAAGAGAAACAAATAAACCCATTTGTTGTAAGAAAGTTTTCTAAAGGGGGTGTTACACAATATTTAGGGCCTCTACTCAGTATTTATAGCAATTATCTTTATTGCTGCATAGGGGAACCATCTCCCCATTTTCAGATTTTAGCCCATACAACCAGAAAGCCTTGAGGTCTCATATAACTGAGACCTCACCACAACCAGCTGGGAGGAGAGAAGGGGTGCTCTAGTGCAGGTGCAATGATGACCTTGTCTATTTCCTCCTTATTTGAACTTATTTAACTTATTGAACTTATTTAACACTGAACAAGTGTTAGCTATATTTATTTTAAGCAGACAAAGTGGGAGTTCTGAAGATGGCCATAGTTCAACTTAAAAAAAAAATATCATGCAATATCATTCTAATAAGTGGAGGTTGGCTCCAAATGACTAGGGTAACAGGTGAGCTAAGTGCAGTTCCAGTCTCCCTTGGCTCCCCCAAATCCAGTCTAATCCTCAGCTGTGGCCACCTTTCCCCTGCACTCACCTCCATCAGCTCACACAGATCCTCCACCCCTCCCCCACTTTCCTCCCATTACTCATTGCTTTATCCCAGAATCTCTCCAAGGCCAGCAGGCATTCCAGGAGAAGCCACAGGCCACTCCAGCCAGGGAAGCAAAACACTTGCAAGTCTTCATGTATCCCACTGCTCCTTCAAATCCAATCTCATCTCCAGGTCCTCAGCAGACCTTCTGCTCTGGCTTCTCTTCTTTCTCTGCCCCCTGTTCCCTGGAGACTAAGCAGAACATGGTAGAGCACCCCTCTTTCTTCCCTTAGGTGGATCTTCCCAGCCCTTCCCCAGCCCCTCCCCATTCCTTAGAGTCAGTTCCCAGTACCCAAAACCAAATTTTACCTGGAACTCCCCAAAAGGCATATGCAGTGTCATTGTTTACTACTTAACCTAACCGTGGCTGGTAAGGGAATGGATGTTAGAAGAAAACTTACTGTTCCATCTTTCCTAAACCAATAATATATTTTCAAACTACACTGTAAAAATTTTCTTTCTTTTTGTAATGTGTTCATTTCATATCCCTATTGTAGCCCTTCCATCATCTACTCCTATTACCCCTCCTCCTATCACCCCTCTCCTACTCCTCAGAACCCACCACCAACAACAACAACCCATCCTGGCACATCAAGCCACATCAGGACTGAACATATCCTCTTCTCCAGGGGCCTGGGAAGGTAACCCCGCCAGTAGGAAGTGATCAAAAAGCAGACAACAGAGTCCATGTTGTCTGAGACACCCCTGTTCACCTTACTAGGGTGCTCACATGAGGACTAAGCAGCCCATTGGGTAGATCTGTTTAGAGGACCAAGTTCCAGTGAATGCATGGTCCTTGGTTGGGACTCCAGTGTCCACAAGCTTCTCTGGGCCCTGGTTAGTTGGCTCTGTTGGTCTTCTTGTAGAGCTCTTGTCCCATCCAAGTTCTTCTGTCCTTCCCACCCCCCGTGCCCACTTTTCCACAAGACTCTCTATGCTTCGCCCAGTGTTTAGCTGTGGCTCTCAGAATGTTTCCATCCCCTGCTGGTTGGAGACTTTCAGAGAACAGCTATGCTAGGCTCTCATCTGAGTACATTGTAAATATTTATCCTTAGGCCCACAGATAAGTGAAGCTCCCACCCCTCATCAAATAAACTTCTTTCAGCAGCACGCAGAGATCATTACAAAAACTTACAGCTAGTCAGAATGCAGAAAACTGACTGTATGTGCTCATGCTCAGAAAGTACATGTATAACACAACCCTTCAACTAGGTGCCCTCATTTCTTCTCACATGGCTTGTATACTAGTGTCAGGCAGAAATGAAGATGGGAGTGTATGCAGCTTCCAAAACGAAAGAGGAATAGTTATTGAGGATTTCATTCGTCATTTATTTCATATAATTCTTGGATGGGAAGAAGACTCATACTTTACATGATTTTCAGTGAAGTGAGAACAAAAAAAGAGAGAAGGTTCATAGGTGGAAATTTCCACTAAGAGTCACGGTGAATTATTTTCCAAATCTTCTGCTTCCCTGTAGTTACATGATACTTGTTACTGGAACCCACTTCATCCATGGGGATAGGCTGAGGCTCGAGTGTTTTTGCCTTTATTATATTTATTGTGTCAAGATCAGGCTGTAAATGTAAATCTATAAATCTGGCCATTGCTGTAAATTACATAGTAGTAAAACCACTATGTAAACAGTTGTTTACCATGCTGTGCCTTGCTTTGAGACATGCTGGGGACCTGCTCCAGCAGAGGTCAGAGCTTGAGAAGGACTTAGCAGGCAATGTAAGGAAGTTGCATCTGGCAGCAGCTTGAATCTTTTTCCGAGCATCTAGGAAGGTGTCATCTGTTGCTGCACTCAGGAGGTAGTTTACAGGAGAGACTTATTTCTAAGGGCCACAGAGTTTATTTTTATTTCTCACAGCAATGATTACATCAATCTATATTTGCATTTTAGAGATATCTAATACATGGCTATTTGCCCAACATTGAAAAATCATAATCATAAAATTTAATGATCGGAAATGCTGGAGCAAGTAGACAAAACTAAGTAGGGGAGGGGGCTTTTGATTTTTCCTTGTTTGCCATTGTCAATCAATTCAAAATCTAAAAAGACTACTTCTTAACTTATAATAAGCAAAGCTAAAATTCTTAACAAATTATACTGTAATTTATTTTAATTCTTTATACATATCCCTAAATATAAATTCTGCAATATTCCTATCTTATTATTTTTTATATTCTTATAACATAAAATTATATTCTTCTTCTTGATTCTTAATTGTCAAATTGTATTTTGTATCTATAAAAGTATCGATATCTTTACTACAAAGTAAGCAGAAAATGTTTTTAGACTCCTTTGCAGGGTTTTTTTGTTTTGTTTTGTTTTGTTTTTGTACTTTCACAGTCTTGGCCTTCATCCCAATCGTCTGGAACTAAGTTAGAACACCCTGTTTAGCCATTTCATCATTAATATTTTTTTAACTTTCAAATGTGTACGTTTCAAATGTGGAGGTTCTATATTACTTTTTTTTTTTCATCTCATTTTCTCTTCCTGACCATCTCAGACCATCAGTGTTTTGAGGGCAAAAGGATGTAACTCAGTGACTCCAAAAACCACTCAAGCTTATGATTTTACTTTCCAACTACGAACATGAAAAGAGGAACTGGGGCTGTATCCACTCAGGCAGAAACGGAACTTTATCAGGAAGTTAATATATGGCTTATGCTATGAGCTTCAAGTGATTGAGGGGTTATGTGTAAGAGTGTAGAGTTACTATTTAAGCTGCCTTGGTTCCTAGGCAATCAGTGGCTGTATTTGCTTTTCCTGCCTGGTGAGGTAACCTGAAAAGCCTGTGTGCTCTAACAGTCACAACAGCGGGTCCCTGAGCTCTTTTGCTAATACAGAAAGACCCTGTTTACAGGGAGCATTCTTTCCAGGCATTAGCACCTGGCCCTGTGCAGGAAACATTCTTAAATGCCCATGAGCTAACAGGTCAAAGACACCAAAGCAAGGAAAGGGTATAACAACTCCCTTGCCTGGGCCTCAAGAAGAGGTGCAGACCTAGTCATCTGACAACATACATGTATGTCAAGGGCCACCAGCCAGAGTATCCCTGACTGTCCTGTGGTTTTTAGCAAGGCTTAGTCTCCTGGCCTACTTGAATTGCTGTCAGTCCATCTGCTTGTTTGCTTGTCTGGATCTGCTATCCATCTATCTAGTCCAACTCACTGTTTTATCTAGTTGTGGTCGTACCCTCTCTTCTCTGCAGCTGGACTCCACGCTAAGGCTTCTCTCACAGGCCTTGTTTCATAGTGTTCCTACTCTCAGCCCCTGTTGCTTCTCCAGCTCTCCTGACTCCATTTGGTTTGTTATAGCAACACAGGGCCTCACATGCCTGTCAGATCTCAAGTTTTGGCTTCCCAGTCCTTTCTGAAATTCCCTGAACCTTGCTGCCTCTTAGCCTTTTGTATTACTCTATTAGGGACACATACAGAAATACATATGCTGTATGTTGTGAAATGTGTGATCTGAGAGTTAGCATTAGCAATCTCCTGTAGATATTCTGTCCTTGGGAACCTCAGGCTCTCCCAGGCAAGTGTTTCCATGGCTTGTGCTGCTCTTTCTCAAGGTGTTGCATGAGTCAGCGTTTCTCTAAATTACAAAATCATCAGTCTTTGGCCTATTTGTCTCTGAGGTATTTAAATCCCAGGGGCTTAGCTTCTTGAGGGCCAAAAGATTTTGGGGTGATGTCTACTTTATTAGGCAGATTTACTTGTCATTTTAATCATAAAAAGGTCAAAGTTTCCTGGCAGTTAGTAGACCTACTTTATCATTATTAATTGTCCTCACTGATCATACCCAGAAAGGACTGCCCTGCCATTTACGATGCCCTGCTGAAAAAATGGTTTGCCAGGACCTAGTAAGTTCAGGCTAGTAATATAAACCACTAAATCTTAAAGGCCAGTAGTGAGTGATACTCACACCCAGCATAACCAAATCCCATGTGAAAATGACTCCAGAGAAATGTTTAATGGAGGACTCTAGGTAAAAAAGGTTACTATAGAATGAGAAATCTCTTCTGTTTTCTCTCAAAATCTGCTTGGCCTGGGTCCAAGGTCAAGGTCCAACTGCTATATATGAATCATATATATGAATCATAGAAATTGCTTCCACAGCAACTGCTTAGCCTACCTGTTAGGAGTCATCCTGCCCTGCTAACATTCAAGAGGGCCACTCAATGGCACAGCAAGGTAAGGCAGCTGCAGACCTGGCCAGTGAGGGAACTCTTGGCATCCTTTCTTGGGGAATCAGTTGTAACTCTTATTTACTCTTATTTAACTCTTATTTAAGTACTCTGTAGTACTTACAGAAAAATACGTCTACAGTCTCAAATGGATGTCAACAAAAGGAGAAAAGTAGGAGGCAAAGTAAAGTTATACATTTTTTATTTACTTATCAATTTAATCCACTATTTCCCATGATCCATGCAAACATTTTCTTTACTGGAGGAATCCCTCTTCTCTGCAAGTCTTGAATGAAAAACTGTGTCACTGAGCTCATAAATGGCTTTCCACTTATGAACCCATAACTTGATTCTATTTTTTTTTTAGTCTCACTACACCCATTTATGCAGTCACCTTAATCCTGTCCCCTTAAATGTGAACAGGCAGCAGTGTGTTCCAAGCAGATGCCATTTCCTCGTACTTCCCTCATCAACATCACCACCTAGGAACCGCACAGATGCGGTAGCTGACTGGTGCAATGGTGATAGACACTCTGAATTGCTGCCTCAGCTTCTCATTGGCTGGGGGTTTGAGGGTAAATTTTTGGATAAGAGAAGTCATAAAAATGAAGAGCTCAGATTTGGCCAGTTGTTCTCCAAGACAAGCTCGCTTTCCTATAAGACAAAAACAAAACTAATTTACTCAGCTGCTGCCAGACTGCCCAGGGACTAGTGTCCCCAAGTACCTTCTGCAGAGTTTGAGTGGACCTGGGAATTGGAGTCCAACTGCTCATTTTTATCTGGCATCTGCCCTGCCTCCCCAAAACACAGAAGTTGAGAGTCCAGGATCACAAATCAAATGCTCTCAGGGATCTGGCAGTGCCAGGAGAGTAGAGCATAGGACAATGGGAGCCGGGGCTGACTGGGAGTGTGTGACTAGCGTGAACACTTTCCAAACTCACTTAACAAACATAAGTGATAGAGCAGATAACGATACAATTAAAACCCATGAGGTGATTTTCAACCTTTAAAAGGGAAAAGAAAAGAATAGGCAAGTATCTGAGCAGGGTTCCTAAGGCACAAGTCATCTTTCACCTAAGCCCACTGTCCACCTTCACCTTGATTGATCTCAGCAACAAATGGGCTCCACAGCTCTCTGAATATCTGAATCTACACAGAAACTCATGCTAGGCGTTACTCAAACATCTCTCTAGGCTATGGTTGCTCCATTTCTTGAGGGAGGATCCACTTCTAACCCAGTGTGTGCAGTGCCGCATTCAGCCACTATTATCATCTCTCTTCTGTGCATCGCTAGTACCTTTATTTTTTTTTATTTTTGGTTCCATGATTTTTTAATTGAAAATAGATTTTTTTTCATGTATTATGTTCTGATTGTGATTTACCTTCCTCCAGCTCCTCCCTACTTACCCAGCTACCCAAATCAAAACACTCTCTTTCTCTCATTAGCATAGGAGCAGGTGTCTAAAAGTAGTAATGATAATAAAATAAGATGAAAGAAAAACAAGCCAGGATAGGAAAAACAAGCACTTAGGTACTGGGTACTCACTATAAAGTCAGCAAAAAGGAAACATATAATGAAGACAGTAGAAGCTATCTATAATTCCGCAGTCCAGACAGAACCATAAGCATGATGACATGCATGTCAGTGTTGTCACAGGGATTCTGATGAACGTTATAACAGCCACTGTCTTACTCAACTCTCTAAGTTGCATCTGTTACTTTTACTAGGGAGACTAATTAATATTCTGAACCGATTGTCAATTCATGCTTCTGTTTTTCCCTCTACCTTGTACAGCTTGCTCAAAAAACAAAAGCAGGGCAAAACTGTTCACTTGTGTGTGGTAATAATACTGATGTCATAGTTTGTGTCTGTGTGTCCCATCATTGTGTCTAACTTGTCCCTGCTCCTTTCATCTTCATCCTGTTAAGTATGCCTAGGAATATGACTGTTAACTTAAAACAGAACCCAAATCAACTCTGCTGTCAATTCCCCAGAGTCTTCCAGAAGAACATCTCTGTCAGGACAAAGGCTGACCTGTTAAGTCAGAAACCCATGCTCAGGGACAGGCTTCATCGGGGAGCACTGTGTGACTGTGACTAACTAACACTCGTTTTTTAGGGCTAAATTTTTCTCACTTGACAAACGTGCAAACAGACTCCATGGCTGGCAGTCATCACAATTAGCCCACAGGAATGAACATACTTTCAAAAGGATGAAAACAAGGGATACTCAAATTGAAAGCGCTTTATTATAAATCAGAGACTAGGCCCAAGATCAAGGGTCAAAATAAACCTTTTCTCCTTTCAAACTCTTTATGTCAGTTGCATTGTTGTAGTGATAGACAACTGACCAGCACTACCTGGTTAAGACTGTGCTTGGGCCATTTCACATCCCAAAATACTTTACTTTGCCTTAGTACTAAAAGGAGAAAAATGACCCAGGCCTTTGCCAGAATTCTTCCCAAGCATAAATCCTATAAGTTAGTGATTTGATGCATTAAGAAGCAAAAGACTCTTTACTAGCATAAATCTTACTGTGCATTGGTCTCTAAACAGGCAGGATTTGAAGGTTTAAGAAGGATTGTGTCATCTGTAATAATATTACACAGATAATAACCCTATGCCTACTTATCTTTGCCAAGAAGAAAGAAGCTGATTTCTGAGTCTCCTTCATTCAGGGAGGATGCACATAGGAAGTCAAGAGGAAGTATGCGGAAAAGTAGGTGTATGCCAACAGTAGCACTGAGGCAGAAAATACTAACAGCTGTTGACATAATGCTAATCCAAGAGACATTTTAGGTTTCTATATTCTGCTCATTTAACTTGTTTTCATTACACCATACTAGTGTGAGTATCCTTAAGCAATTAAATTTTATTCCCCTCCACCAGAGAGAGATGCTGGAAGTAAGAGAGATCTCACCACCATCTTCCATGAGTTTCATATTATGTGTACTAGTCTTCCATGCTATTCCAATCAAAGACTCCAATAGTTTCCCTCTCCCCTGAGTTGTGGCTGGCCTTGTGACTTGAATAGAACACCAGAATGCAGTGGAAATCATGATGTCACTATTCGCAGCCTGGACCATACCAGGCCTGTGTGTTTCTGTCATCCCTTTTGAGATATTATCACTACCTTATGAACAGACAGCTGATTTGCCAAAGAGGAATAGGTAACATGGAATAACACTACTTTTTTTAGATGAGTTCATGGTAGGTCTTCATTCAACCAGCTCACCTCTCACATGTATAAGATCACTTATCTCATATCCGTGTGAATGATACCTATAAACTAATAGATTGGGGCCACTACTTATGCAGCAAGACAGTGATACATATGAAGTCAGTGAATCTTATAGTAGAAGGAACTGTAACTTAGGGAGGAGAATTACATTCTAGTTGTAAAAGAGAACTGGTCTAGAAGTAGGCCACTTAGCTTTAGGCCCAATTGTGCTAAACCATATTCTTGGAATATGTTGAGTTTGCCTATAGGAAGAAATAAGATATCAATCCATTTTCTCTTCAGTTACGAGTGAACAAGTAGACTGAATGAGATAGTGTGCTTACTAATGAAGTCTGTAATTAAGAGGGTATAAACTAAGTCCCAATAACAAAGCACCAGTAAGTCATTTTGTGTTGCCCTTTTTATTCTAAAGCTAATAAAGATGAGGAAATATTTTCAAATCAGGGGAGAAGTAAAGCACCTATGGAAAAGAGATATTTAAACTATGAAGAAAACAATCTTTCTCACTGTCTCTTTCCCCAGAGGTTTCTTCTCCCTTTTTTAGTCATGAGTGTCTTATAATCCCTCTCACCACAGCAATCACCAAATAAAACATCTTGTGGAGTGTGCAGAGAGATACTGTTCCATAATTTCAGAATGTCATGTCAGAAACAAGAAACAAGAAAAGTTTTATTAATGGGAACAACATGCCAGAAACTGTGTGCTGTGAAACAAAAGCTGGAATCATTTAACTGGAAAGACTGAGGTGTTTCTATACCTTGTACCACCTGTTCTGTGGGGGAGTTACAGCAGGTGAGGATTTTTGTGTTTTTACCACATAAATTCATCTATTGGATTATAAATAGGAAATTAACATTATAACGATAGAAGACCTTGAAAGGGATTGTGCATAGAGCAAAAGCTCAGTTAGTTAAAAAGATGCCATTTTGAACAATTATCTTATGTGTGCATTTTGATAAGTAGGGAGCCCCTCTGTCTAGCATCCTCCCACGTCCTTAGTAAAGTCTATTTTCATGTGAGTGAGTACTCCTTTAAAATAGCATGGGAAATTAAAAAACTTAGTAAAGATGGCAGCCATCCATTTTTTTTTTTTAACAAGAAGCAAGTGTCCGAGTCTCTGTTATCACTGTTGTGATAAATGTATCAAGAGGACCTGAAAACTTCATTAGAAATTAAGATGACTATCTGTAATAGTGATAGTCTGAATCTATGTTGGTACAAAGTATTCTGGGATTCAAACATAGGCTAACTGAACAGGAGATAATCACCAACCCAGCTGCACCAGCTGCACTCTACAATGGTGACCTGCCTACAACATATGCTTGTGTAATAGTGGCATAAATGTTGTAGACGTAACCAACCACTACCTGATTAGATTTAAGGCCAACTCCATGATATGGAACCCATAGCTGACACTGATTGGTTGGCCACGAGTGGATAGGCCATAGATTATAAGAAAAAGAGAATGGGTTGGAATGGTGAGGCATACCTGTAATCCCAGCACTTGGAGAGGGAGAGGCAGGTGGATCTCTCTGAGTTTGAGGCCAGCCTAGTCTACAAAGCGAGTTCAGGACAGCTAAGGCTACAAGAATAACCCCATCTCAGAAAAAAACAAAAAACAAACAACAACAACAACAACAACAACTAAAAAAAACAAAACAAAAAGCAAATGCTACTATTTTGCTAAAGGAACCGAACAATAAAATGATGTCTTATGATATTCTGTTATCCCTATAGACAAGTGCCTTACTGAACCATCATAAGAGAAGTTTTCTCTTGCTGTAGATGGCAACTAACATAGAAATTCACAATGGGACAAAGTAGATAAAATAAAACATTTTGGAATACTTGGTCTTAAATAGAATGTTTTCATCAAACCCCTTCCCTCAGGGCTCAGGGAGCTATGTGGAAGAGGAGGTGGAAAGATTATAAGAGCCAGAGAGGATAGATGACGCCAAAGAAAAAAAGTGTCTTCCAGATAAGAAGACTGATATACATATGAACTCACAGAGATTGGCAAGCATGTTTAGGGCCTGCACAAGTTTAATCCAGACTGGATCCCAGCACTGAGAGGGAGAATCTGGCATGTGCTCTCAGCTCTAAACAGAAAGCTATCTCCAATGACAACCTTTCACAAAGAAAAAAATTAGTTTGTTCCAATGAAGTCTCATTGGGTATATTAATCAAATCTAGTGGTAGACTCCATGCTCAAAAGTAGGTGGTCAACATAAAATGAGCTCAAATCTATTTTTGTCGACATTTTTATTTCATATTGCTTTGTTTGGTTTTTTTTAATTACTGGTCTTTGACTTGTGTAAGTCTTTTGCTTGTACATTATGATTTCCAATTTTTATTGGGTTTGGGGTGGTGTGTGTATGTGTGTGTATGAGAGAGAGAGAGAAAGAGAGAACCTTTTCCTGTTTGCTTATTTTCTAAAGAGTAAGACAAAGGGCATAAAGTGGGTGAGAAGGTGGGGAGGACATGGGAGGAATTGCAAGAGAAGACACTATGATCTTAATATAGTGTATATAATGTAAAAAGAAAGGTGGAGCCACAATGGACATGCTTATCTGAAGACATCCCAGATAGAACACATAATTGTGGGAAGGAGAGGAGGGAAAGGCTAAGTAAGAGCTTCAAACTCTCTTCTGCTCATCACAACTCACCCATTGAGAAAGGCAGGAAAGATTCTCTCTTCTTAAATTGTCCATTCTCCAAAAAGTGCTCTGGGTTAAACACATCTGGAGTGGCCCACTCTTTGGGGTCCCTGTGTAGTGCAGTTAGGTTTGTCAGAAACATGGATCCCTAAAAAAGCAGCAGAAAGTAAAGACTTAATGAAAACTCTCACACAGACAGATGATAATTCTTAACCTCCCACGCCCAAGGATCTTGACATCCTGAACTTTCCCATTCTGCTCAATTGATTTGTCATTGCCTGACATATCCCAGCCAGAAAGGTAGGTAGACCATGCTTTATTAAAGAATATATCTACCTTACTAAAAGTGGTTAGTATAGGTCTGATTAGGGGACTTAAAAGCATCCATAGGAAGATAATGAACCTGTTGCTCTTTGCAATTAGGACCAAAGCAGCTGTATGACTGAATGTCTTCTTCACCTCTGATTCTACATTTTCCCTGTACATTAACAAAGAGATGCCAACCTAGCTCACTACAGTTAGTCAAAGACACAGGGATGTATCAGAAAGCACCCTTGTCAAGGCAGATATATGCCGCATTAACCAATGTCACCAAAGTGAATCTTTCCCTCTTGTTACTTAATCATCAAAGCTGGTCCACTCTTCAAATATCTCCTGATTCCATTGTCTCTATTCCAGTTTCAAACTGCAACCTTAGTGCAGGCTGTCATCCTTTCTTTCTAGGCTCTGGAAATCACCCAATAGCTATGACTCTGTTTCACAGTTTGAATGCCCAACCACTCATTAAAACTTGGAAAGCCGGCTTCTTATACTCTTAAATCCAAGGCTCTGTACCACCAGAGTCACTGTTCATTCTTCCCTTCTCACTGTGCTCTGACCATAGTCCTCTTCCTTTATGATCTCAACCTGGCCACGTTTCCAATGCTTCTTGTTTTGAAAGGAATATTCCTTCCCATTTTGGCAGATAAAATTCTTAACTCTCCTCCAATCCTTAGCTCCAATGCCTCTTCCTCCAGATTTCTACTGATTTCTTTAGCTGATGCTCCTCACCCCTGTTTGTCAGCATCACAGAGAAACAGAATTCTTTCCTTCCAGCAGTACTCATGGTTTATAAGCAGGAGCTCCTCTTATATAGGTATCCCTATTCCAGACCCGAAGTTTGTGGGCATTTAATGAACATTCCCTTGATTAATAAATAATAACTTCAATTATGAGTATAAAATTATGTATATGTAACCTCTTCATATTTCCATAAAGAGCCTATGAACTGGGTACAATGTATTTTGTAGAGGCTGAAGTTGTGGTTGGTTAGATAATGTGCTTGTACAGTGGTGGAATGTGAAATCAGCATGGAGCAGAGCTATCTTCTTCAAGGCCATGGTTCTCTGCCTCTATTGGACATAGTCATTTACAATTCTCAGTACCCAGAGAGCTGATGTTATTATAATCTGTGGAAAAGGATGGTTTGGTTGTCTAAAGATGAAGGAATGCACAGAAAAAGAATGCAAGCAACACTTAAAAAATTCAGACCTAACTTCAAGCCATGAGCTGTTCAATGATAAAGGGGACAGTAAACACAGAGACTGCTCCCTGACTCTGCAGCAAAGGTCCTCTGCCACCATTAGAACAGAAAGTTTTGCTAAGGTGTCCCATAGCAAAGAGAGCCAGGTTTGGCCTAAACACACCTGATCTAAGAATCTTCCCTTCTAGACTCCTCATAATACATATGAATATCTACTAAGACACATAAAGGATTTTTAGCACAAATATACTTCTCTTCCCATTGAAATGATTTCTTAAGTCAGGAATACATGTCACTTTTTAAGTTTTGACCCCCAAAATGATGCCAGAAATGGACTAGAGAATCTGAGGATGGGAAAATGTTTACCTTTACCAGGTCAAATCCAGCAAACTTGGTGTCAACTGCCACTTCCCTGGGAACATTAAAAGGGATGATGTTGCCCATCCTCAGCACCTCGTGGATGACAGCATTGGTGTAGGACATGGCATCTCGGTCAGCCAGGCTGGGAAGTCTTCCTTGGCCAATCACTCTGTCAATCTCAGCCTGTACTTTTTCTAGAATAGAAACAAAACAAAACAAAAACTCACAGAAATTCTATTAATTTTAAAATGTTTTGCTTTTTTCCCCATAACAATATAGAAGCTGTCTCTGAGAACTTGCTTTTATTTCATCTTAGTGTCTTGGTTATAAAAAAGTAAAACTTTCCTCAACCCTTCAAATGGCTGTTTTATAATAAAACTGTCAATTCAAATAACTTTCTTTGAGCTTACAACATAATCATAAATTTCCATATATTCTGAACTGAATATTTCAGATCACCACAGGTGAGCTCATAGCAGGCTTCTACAAACAAGCATCATTCATGAGTGGGTTAAAAAAAAACACGAGTGTATTCTTCATAGATTTAGAGCCTGGAACTTCTGAGATCAAGGCACTACCAGTTTTCTTGCCTGCGTAGACAATTTTCTGTCTCATGGGCGCCATAAGGAGAAAGAAATTTCTCTGATACCTCTTCTAGAAAGGCACTACTTTTCTTCACACCTTCTGCATAATTATAATTAATAATTGGATTTGAACATGGGTTTGGCAAGGAGGACACAAATGTTCAAACTACCACACATCTGTAAACTAATTTCTTACAGACATATATCTGTGTGGGCTTAGACAGCAATGTGTTGCCGGACAGAATCCAGGTGAAGGTGCTTACATTCTTTATGTATGAATTTTCTCCTGTGATTAGTGGGAATAAGTCTACTTTATCTTGAGGATGTTTTGAGGTCTACACAAACTGTTACAGTAATAAATGATTAATTGTACAAGCTTTCTGCCAATATGGCTCCTCTTTCTCAAGAGTAATAGAGGTTGAACTAATTTCATCTTATCATCTGACTACACATTTCACTGGAAATAAATTTGGAACTCCAATCCCTTTATTATTACTCTACAAATTAATTTTATATGAAATGTATATAATATAAAATCTATGACTATTTCCATGGTGGAAAAGAGTTTCAGGCAGAGTTCTCCCTACATGGCAAAGGTCTCCTCGAGCTTTCAACACTCCAGTTTCATATCTGTCAAGAGTTGAGATTAATGGTGTGCGAGACCAATCACAGATCTCACCATTTTTACATGTTGTACATGTTATTGCTGGAACTTCACCTTGCAAAAAATTCTAGGTACGTGTGAAAAGTACTATTTTCCTTCTACCTGCATTTGATTTGACTCTTATTTCAGTTTGATAGTACAGTGTTTGTACTTTTGGGACCATCTGCTTTAACTTAGCACAGAATTCTGAATTAGTGTAACATTGGAATTCCTTTTCTGAGGCTGGAAGATGGCTCAAGGGTTAAGACTGCTTGTTGCTCTTGCAGAGGACCTTGAACTTGGTTCCCAGTACACACATGGTAGCTTAAGGCAGTTCCAGGGACTCTGATGCTTTCTTCTGACTTCTGCAGGTAGGAGACAAGTATATAGTACTCATACACATAGGCAAAGCACACACATACAAGCAAAGAACTCACACACATGACATTAAAAAATCAGAGTATTTTTAATGTTTTTACAATTTATTCACATTGTATATCAATTGTAGCAACTCCCTCAACTCTTCCCAGTCCCACCCTCTATCAATCTCTCACCCCCAAACATCTCCCTTAGTCCACTGAAAGGGGGAGTCCTCCTCCCTGGCCATCTGGCCTTAGCCTATCAAGTCTCCTCAGTGATCAAAGGGCAGACAACCTAGTTCATGTCAGAGACAGCTCCTGCTCCTCTTACTTGGGTTTCCACATGGAAACTGAGCTACTTATGAGCTACATCTGAGCAGGAGGTCTAGGTCCTCTCCATGCATGGTCAGTGGTTGGTATATCAGTCTCTGTAGGTCTTCCTGGGCCCAGATTTTCTGGCTTTGTTGGGCTTCTTGTAGAGCTCCTGCACACTATGGGTTCTTCTATCCCCTTCCTCTTCTTTAATAAGACTCCCTATGCTTTGCCCAAAATTTGGCCTTGAGTCTCTGCATCTGTTTTGATCCCCTGTGGAGTGGATTAACTGGATGCCCAGAGGTCAGACTGGATTGTTTCCTTCACCATCGGGTTTCCTCTGGACTGGGAGATGAATCTCTGGTGTTTTGGACCCCACATTCAGTCTGGAAAGGTGAGCAAAGCATGCAGGTATGTGCCTAAGTGCTCAAGACCTGGCTTCTGCAGGAACCCAGCAACTTTTCAAGGGGTTAGGTGGATGATTTAAGGTCGAACTCAATTGTTTCCCTCACCATGGGAGTTTTCTTTTACCTGGAGAGCACAGTCACTAGTGTCTTGGGGCCCACAGTTTGGTTTGTTGTTTGCTGTGTAGTCCCTGATGCCCTGCTGCATTGCACGGTGTGCAATCGTGCAATCGGTGACGCCATCTTGAATCCTCTCAAAAAGAACTTCTTATCTCTGGCTAAACTTTCTTTTGATCTCATGTATATTCTACATTTTATGTATTCATGGCCCACAGGCACTCTGGTTTTTTACCATTGTGTTGTGAAACAAAAAACAATTGTGATTGTATTATTTATAATCTACTGATATGTTTGGAGTCTTATTTTCAGAAGTCAAATCTATATCCTAAGTGAGTTGATTTAAAGTTAAAAAATAATTTAGTTTGGGGACAGCAGATGGCTGACATTGTTGAAATCTGCTGACCTGAAATAAAACCTTAGGGTCTACATGATGAAGGAGACAGCTGATTCCTAGAAGTTTTCCTATGACCTCCACACTTGTACCATGGCATTCTCCCACACCTCTTTGAATATAACAAAATTTTAAATGTAATCTTCAGATAAAAATGCATTTTAAATGGTGATTCAGGATGCATACAGGTAAAAATAGGTACACATTAAATATACATTTCAATTTAATAAATAAATAAAGGTCACCCTTGGGAGATAGCTCTGTTGGTAAAATGCTTGCTTTGTAAGCATGAGGAACTAAGTTTGGTCCTTAGAATGCATGTAAAAATGTCAGGTGTGATGGCAAATGCTTGCAGTACTAGCATGTTGGAGGTGCAGAGACAAGTGGGCCCTCTGAGATTCAATGGTTGTTTGTTGAGCTCTAGGATAATGACAGAACTTATCTTAAAAAAAATGAACTGTGCTTGAGGAAGAGGGTCTGAAGTTGTTTTGTGAACTCAATGTGTATGTAAACATACACATATACATACATGCACAGAGAGTCACTCACACAAACATGAAACAAAGATAATGGACAAATCTGACTTCACCACATTGGCAGAACTCTTTGTCTTTTTGGTTTTCTAAATGTACTAACTTGACTTTATAAATGAATAAACTGTTATCCACAATTTGAAAACAAAGTTCCATGGTATGAAAAATGGTCCTAACCAGCACCTGCTAAACTCTTCTAGGATGTGGAGGAAAAGAAATCTCAACTGACAGTGGAGAGACATAAAAGAAATATACAAAGCTCAGTGAAGGAGTTTTCATCTCTGGAGGAAGAAAGCAACAGCAAATCTCCAGTCAGAAAATTCCTAGAGAAATTTGAAATACCCTAGAAAGGTGGGGTCTTGGAAGATCCTTCTAGATGTGGCAGAAATTCAAACAGTATACTCTTGGTTCAGGGAAGTCTTGATGTCATGACTTAGATGCACGAATAAAGACAGTGACAAGAGAGGGCATGTAACAAAGGATGACTACCATGCAAGATGGGTGGAGTTGAGAATGGGCAGAGAGGAGATTATCACATGACTCCAGAAACCAGACGAAGACGTTTTCACAAGTATCCAGGGGAAATATGAGTGTATTGCTAAAAAGGAAAGCAGGTGTCTCTGGGTGCTCCTAGGGTAAAACCACTCTGCTGGACCTGACCACAGTGCCACTTCCCTTCTCTACTTTGTCGCAGGCTCTATGCTTTGTCAGTACACAGATGTTATATTGTTGGTACTGATGAACCCATCACAATTCTGACCGAACATGTGGAGGATGTATCCCTTCCCAAGTGCACATCACCTCACATACATTCTACCCTTTCCCAACTCTCCATGCCATGTTCTGATCCCCTGTGAACCACAGATTCCAGAAGCATCCACATTGTACAGGGTACATTCAGCATATGCTCACCTTGGACTTCTGGGTAGAGGGCCATATAGAGCAGAGCCCAGCGCAGTGTCGTGGATGTTGTCTCTGTTCCAGCAAGAAAGAGGTCCAGAGTGCTGCAGATGAGGTTTTCTTCATTGAAACTTGTAGTGTTATCTGGGTACTGAAAAAGAAAGTGTGTACTTATTTATTCATATGGTTTCAGTTAAGACCTTGTGTTGGTATAATGTTCTTGTGGAATGTATACAATTTACACTTGTTCATTTAAATGCTGATTTCTCTACCCCACTATCTGGCTTCAATCCAGACATTGCATTGTTATGTTTATGTTAAACATCACCTGTCTCCTGTGTGTAAACATGCCACCATTTGTTCTCTGTATTGTCAATAAAACAACCAGTCAATGCTGAGCAATGGAGAGAATAGGGTGGGACATTGTAGTCCAGAAGGAAGGAGAAGGAAGCAAGGGAAAGGAGTTGGAGAGGAGAGATGGGAGGAGAGGACTTGGAACCACCACGGGAGGAGAAATGAACCGGACCTAATATATGACTAGAAGCAAGCATAATGTGATAAATCTGAATGGGAGGAAGTTATGCGGGCTTGGAGGCTTAGGATGGAGTACTCATTGCCCAGCATTGTGCTCTTGGTTAACTAAAAACATCCTAGTCTCTGTGTGGTTTTGGGTATACAGCTGGTTTAGGAATAACCACTCTTTAAAAGCTAAATCAATAATAAATATTAATAATCAACAACAACTTTGGAGTAGGAATTTGAAAAGATTCATATAAAGTAATATTCTCTTTGACCTCCTGTCTCAAATGCTATACACTGACCAAAACCTTATGGCTCTTGGGTGGATGAAAATCACTACAACTATTGTCTTCTAATTATACTTTAGAAAACCTTTTGTCCGTGATAAGAAAATGAGATAAAATTATATTTGGCTTTTAGTATCAGCTACCTCGCTAAGTTACTGAATGGCCTAAGTCACTCACTTAACATTTCTTTTCTTTAGTTTTATAAAATGATAATAAGAAATGCACCATAACATGTCATTATCAATTATGTGATATACTACAGGAACAGTCAATACTCAACAAATTATTTTGCTGATACCAGAAAGAATCAAGTGATCCCTCTTTGTTCACTGATTTCCTGATCTCACCAGTCATCTTTCCTAGCCAAGACTTTTATGATTCTATCAGTTATTTTTTATGATACAACATCATCTTTACTAGCTTCCTCTGGAAGCATAAGTTTGTTAAGATTGCTCTTGATATTGATGGTCTAATACCTGTATATGATAAGTAATTATTCATTTCTTCCTGAAAGAAAATTTAAAAGTATTACTTTTGTCAATATTATCCAAGAAAAAGGAAAAAATAGAGAAGATGGAAAAATATTGCAATTCTTCCTCTGCTTAGAGGAGGAACCCATAATCCAGTTTATTCAAGTTTATGCCACTGATCCCATGACGTTTATCTGTCAAAGGCACAGTGAGATCAGGCTATATATTTGCAATATGTTTTTATTTTTTTAATTTTATCTGAAATGAAATTTCAGAATTACAACAGATTCATGTTTTGAATGCTTGGATGTTAGTTTTATAAATTATTTTTGGAGGTTATATAATACTGGGGGGAAGGAGGACCAAGCTGGAGGAAGCTAGTCATAGGGGGCAGGACTCTGAAGGTTATATCAAGGCCCTGGGTTTGCTTTAGTTTCTGATTGTTAATGCATCATTATGTGAACAGATGTCACCACAGGGTTTTGCTACCATGAGCTTAGCTTTCTGTCATTCCTTCTCTGCAGTGGAGGACCAAACTTCCTAAAACTGCAAGCCAAAATGAATTTCTCTTGTGTTATTTTTCCCAGGTATTATTATAATGATGTTAAAGGAACAAACACATCCAACAGGATGCTGTCTAGCCTCTTGTGTATCACTGGATGTTTTTGTGTGGAGTTAGAAGACTTCATCTAATATTATAGTTAAACTTTATCATCCAGCTGTACATTGCTCAAGTACTGCAGCATTGGATTAAATGCAGTCAGTAACTGGCCCTAAACCAGTTGTAACAAAATGGGATTCTGAAGTTTAACTGCTACTTTCAATTATGATACTGCTCACTCACATATGGACAAAAGCTAAGAGACAGACACAGCAAGATAATATCTGGCATCATCATGGACTCCTACGAAATGGCTATGAACTCTATTTATAATGACTCTAATAATTCTGAATTAATGCTATCCTATACCTCATAAGTATTATCCCCTTTTCATTTAGTTTCCCTGTAGTGTGTTAAGTAATGATCCACAGAGATGTCATTCTATTCATCTCTGCGCATATTGCTTGATACTTTATAATAAACCCTGTGATTAATTTTAAAAAGGAAGACTATGCTGAATTATTCATATATTAGATGGCTCAAGGTTCAGAATCAAAGAGATGAAATATAAAGATGAAAGCAGTGATCAGGGAGAAATAGATGCTACAGTATTGCATAGAAAATGAAGAAAGGAGACATAACAAAAGGTATCTGTGTCCAGCAGAATCTAAAACAGGCAAAATAATGAGTCCTCACTATTTCCATACGAAGCTTTCCTGGCTAACAGGCATACGGAGATCATACAGTACTCTGAGGGGACACATCTGTGCCATGTCAAACCATTAAACTGCTGCAAGAAGACAAAACAGCAGTTGTTCTCCCCACCTTTGTCATTTCCTTGAGGAAAGCGTCAATGAAGTCTCTTGGCTCATCAGGATCCCAGTCTTTCCGGTGCTTGTCAATAATATTAGCAACAAACAGTTTCAGTTTTCCCCAATTTCTGAAGAATGTTTGGTGTGACCCAGGAAGATACTGAAGTATCCTTGGAAAGACATTGTAGAGCTGATTGGGAAAAATAAGACAGTCATGAAGACTCCATGGTGCCACATTCCAAAACAGCCTTGTCTTTCCCTTTGTTTCTTTTTCCTTTTTTTTATCTTTAAATTTTTTGTTTTATTGAAAATAGATTTTTTCATATAATATATTCTGATTACATGTTCTTTTCTTATCAAGACACCCTTCTAAACAACCAGTAAAATTATGGTGATACTCAATAAATTCAGCACTGATAAAAATACTGTTATCTGACCTACAAACCTTACTAAATATCACATATCACATTGAATCCAGATGAATTTGAACATCCTTTTTTTTCTTTTTTCCATTTTTTATTTTAATTTTTATTAATTATACTTTATTCACTTTGTATCCCCTGTGGCCCCCTCCCTCCACCCCTCCCAATCCCACCTTCCCTGTCCCCTCTCCACACATGCCAATCCCCAAGTACACTGATAGGGGAGGTCTTCCTCTCGTTCCTTCTGATCCTAGTCTATCCCTTATTTTCTTACAGTGGGGTAATGGAGACAGCTTGATTCCTGTTTCACTCTTACTCCATATTCCCACCCTCCACAGACATTTCAATTCTTCCATGTAAAGACTTTAACTCCTTAAATTTAATTGTAGAAAAGGCTCTAATTACAAGAGAGGATGATTAAAAGAGAACATATAAACCAGTTAGCTGTATAAATCCTTGTTGAAATAGAAATAAACTAAAATGCATGAGGACGAAGGTAGAGAAGAGCTCAGAAGTAGTGAGCTAAAGATCTTCCATTATTTCAGAAAGGATAAAACTATTTATCCCACATGCTGGATATTTAAAACTGTCCATTTTATTAGGTTTGCTGTTGTATTTTATGTGTATGCATGTTTTTCCTGAATATGCATCTGCATCATTTGCATGTCTGGTGTCTACAGAAGCCAGAAGGAGTATTGGATTCCCTCAAACTGGAGTTATGGATAGCTGGGAGTTACTGTTTAGATGCTGGGAACTGAACTCTGGTCCTACACAAGAGCAACTAATACTCATAACTACTAGGCCATCTCCTCATTCCATATAATTGTCAAATTTTAAGGTAAAGACTAAAGTAATAGAAAATTATACAAGTCCTTTCAATTAATACTTGGGGGTGTTAAATAAGAACATTTAATAATAACTTAAAACACAAGAAAACTCATATAAATAAAATAATTTATTTTACACAAAATTATTTTTACACAAAATAATCACAAATTAGTTCTCCTAATTTAATAATTTAAAATATTTATTTTATTTTTAATTGTGTGTATTGGAGGCAAATTAACTCACGAGCTCAGGTACCTACAGAGGCCAAAGACATTGGGCTCCTTGGAATCACAGATGTTGTGGCTACCCAACATGGGTGCTGGAAACCAAACTTGGGACTTCTGCAAAAGTAGTCTATGATTTTAATTGCTAATCCATCTCTCTAACCTCTCCATGCCTTAATACTTATAATAAAGGAATATAAGCATACTAATAAAAAAGGCAACAATTACCAAATTTGGCACAGCATTTACAGCTAATTGATGTTGGTTTAAAGAAAATCTTCTAAAATAGAAGCACATGAGAGTTTAAAAATAAGACACAGAAAGTTGTTTTACAGATTAAGACTGAAGGAGAGCAGAGCAGCCCATGCATATTAGATGAGAGTCTTGAAGGAGGAAAAGAATTATAGACAAAAATATCACTTGTAACTAGGAAGAGAGAACATTAAAATTTATCTAAGGATGTTGTAAAAAAAATACAAAGATGGAGTAACAAGATATGCTAGCAATTGCTCTTGAGAACCAGTATCAAACACAGTCTAGACAGGAAAAGCAGACTCTATCAAAGGTGAGTAACCTTAGTAGTTAATTTTTCTTTAAAACTGTCTTTCATATATTGGAGTATGGCTGAGAGGCCAGTAAGCAGTGGAAAATATTTGGGAGACTCTAAGAATTGAAGGAATGAGAATTTGGACATAGGTTTCCCAGCTGGGGGTGAAGTTTGAAGATCAAACTTTATGTTATGGTACTACAAGATTCACAGCATCAAATATTAACTGCATTGAAAGTAGGAACCAGTTCTGAACCTTTAGTTATCTTTTATGTGCAGATACAAATTCAGAAAGAATGAGTGACTGGTTTCAGATGAACACCTGTACCAGAACAGCCACTGCAACATTATTTATGACATCACAAGTCTGGAACCAACTCAAAAACCCAAATGTGGAGAAATGTTTGCTAAAGTCACATATCTTGCAAAGCCTAGTCGCAGTTAACAAAAATCAGCATACACAGAGGAAATGTCAAGGAAGATTAGCTGGAGATGGGATTATTCAGCAACAACAACAACAACACCAGCAACAGCAACAGCATTCACCCATCTACAGGCAGGCGTCCTGCAAATATTGGTACTTCTTTTAAATATTAGACATATATTTTTTTTCATGTGAGAGTTTTGCATATTACCAAAACCCTGAACACAAAAGAGAGATTTGATTACATTCATGTTAAATACATTGGATATTATATTTTAACATCAAAAGCCCTAAAACACACAAAGAAGGAGCTTGTCTGTTTGAATTAATCCCATTCCAATACCCTCCCCGAGGTCTGAGAAGGTAGAGGGCTAACCTGGCACATAACTGATGACTCCAAACATATGGCTGCATCCAGTGTCTTCAACATCTCCTGAAAGTGACTGTCATGGTACTCAAAGCGCTCCCCAAAGGTGACTGAGCAAATGATATTGGAAACTGCATTGTTGATATTGAAATGAGGGTCAAAAGGATGTCCTGGAGGGGGGAAAAGAGAGAGCTGGGGCATTAAAGGTATTTATGCTTCTATTGTCTATAAATAAAACAATTCTACAGCTGCACTCTCCCCTCCCACCCCCCAAAAATATTAGAGAATGCAGAGAATGGAATAATGGGCTCTGGCCACAGCATACGTATGTGGCTGACATTAACCAGTTCTGACAATGGCTGTCAGATTGATGACCGGGATTTAAATTCAACAGTGCTTAATAACTCATTTTGTTTGTTAGGTTACGGCCCTCTAGGGCAAGCTCATAGTTAAAAGTTCACTGTTCAGTCTTCAGGACATATCCCAGAGCAGGCAGCTGATAAACACTTAGGTACATAATAAGAATCCGTTAAAAAAAAAAAAAACTACAGCCAGAGCACCTGCACCTGCCCTGTGAAATGCCCACCTCCCTCCTCTCTTATGGCTTCCACAAGATAGTGAGCCTCCTCCTGTATGCGCTGCTCTAAGCTCTTTTTTCCTAATCCAAAGTTCCTCAGTGTCATCAGAGTGAATCTTCTTTGTTCCTTCCATGTCTGGCCACTGGAGAAGATCAATCCTAGAAAAGGAGATTCAGCATTATTGCATTGTTAGTTTGGTCTAAAGTTACCTGGAAAATTGGATGGGCATGTGTCTGATGGAAGGGAGAAGGGTTGAAAAGTCTCTTGGCAGTTCTCTAGAGAGACAATCCCAAAGCAAAGGAACTAACGTTCACTGGTTACTTTGAGCATCATACAATTTAGCCTTCCTTGTGTATTATGTGATTTAGTACTTTTAGAAATTCCATAAACTTTTAACAATTAACCCTGGGCCCATTCCATCCCATGCAAAAGCTAAGACATGAGAATAAAGTATGCTTTATAAAGAAATATAGTCAGTACATAGCAACTTTCTATTTCAGTCTCTCCAGTTCCAAAGTCCACTCTCTGATCACCCAAGTCTAATAATTCATGTTAAGGTGAACAACAGGAATGCACTCATGGAGAAGACAAGACATATGAGGTAAGAAAGTTTTAGAGAGGAGGTTCTAGCCAAAGCATATAGTAGAGAATGAAGAAATGACTCAAGAAGATAGAAAGGATGAGTATCCCACACACAGAGAACTTAGAAGCAAGGATGAAGAACATTCTGGTATACTCAGCATTCACCAGCTATCATGGCATCTGGACTCTCATGCTTCTGTCAATTTTCTAACTTTCTGAGAAATCCTCAAACCCTTTTCATATAATACTTAGCTTTCACCATCCCCATGATATTGATTGATACACTGGAATTCGGATTTCAACTTTTTTTATTGTTACTTTTGACAGGATAATAGAAAGTATTCACATAAGTACTGTTATATGATGGGCCAGAAGGCTAAAGACCCATGATGACATCACTTTAATGATGGACTATGAGAAGTTATAAACAAGAAGAGCAGCAGCAAGAAGAAGCCGATTCACATCTATTTGCCTAGGGCAGAGGATTGGAGTGGGAAAGTGGAAGTGAGAGCACACTGTGCCCGGCTGGACTCATTATTAAAGCATCAGGAGCTGCTGTACAGGACATGTGATGTCTCCCAATCTAGAAAGAAAACACTGTAAGTCCTCTGATGCGTGCTTTTTTTCAGGAAATGTGGCATACTGCTTCTTTTACAATTGATAGGGTTGGTTTATGGGAGTGTTGGCAAGTAATAGTAACCTTTAACATATCATGAAAGTTAAAATACACTCCACAGACTGCTCAAGGAATATACTTACCATTTTTATCAAAGAGATGTTTTCGAAGAGGAATGACTGGGCGACTCAGAAAATTTTGCTCATTTTGAGTAAAGACTTCTTTGATTAAGGGCATGCCAGTTACAACCACAGAGGGGATGTTAGCGAAATCCAGGCTTAAAACATTCCCATATTTCTTCACAAACTGAAAAATATTTCAGTAGTCACAATTGAGTGAACCCATGTCTGTGTGTCCAGATATGGCAGGCATGCATGTAGCCGATGGGACAAAAGGTTGACTGTGAGGGCCATGTGTGCGTAGATGGGAGCAAGCATCTTACTCCGTGGAAATGTTTTAATGTTTTTTTTCTTTTCTTACACATTATGCAAAATTTCAAAGCACAGTAAGAGTAGACATTTCTCTACAGAAAATCTCCAGTGAATTTGTAGGTATGCAGCCACCTTGTGTCCCTAGCAGAAGGCATGAGAATATATATATATAAACAAATAAGCAAGTTCTCTAACTTGAAGTATCCTGAATTCCAATAAAGGCAGAGAAAACAGTATATATGACAGCTGAAAGGCAAATAAGGTCTGTACTCTTTTGGTGTTTATGCAGAAAATAATGCCTTCAACATCTGCTATGTATTATAGATTCATGTGTAACTACTCTTGCAAACACTGAGCGAAGTGTGGGCATTTGTGTGTGAAGGTGGTATTTTGGTGTGATGGGAATGTTTCTGATTTTTTCTCCTCTCCTCTGTGAGAATTTCCTCGGAAAACTTCATGTATTCAGTTAATATAAATTGAATAAGTACCAATGTGTCCCTAGACTAGGTTATGAGGTTATAAGTGTTTTAAAGAATCAACATTTTTAATCTGAAGCATCCCAGAGGCCAGTGAAGGCAGATGTTCCTAACCTACCAAGGTCTGAAAGTATGTGTTCAAAGTCTATTGTACCAACCATGGATCTATTAATAAGTAAAAGTATTTGTTTAATTAGAGGTGATTGTCCCTTCCCCATACCTTGCCAGATCAGAGAATACAATAAAAGGTGGAGGTTGGAGTGGAAACTTCCCTGTAGTTCTAGAGCAATGTAAGCATATATGTTCTAAGATTCACTGTCTATGAAGTCTTGGGGAAATTGCTCTATCTTTTGAAATTTTGAACTTTAGTTATGAAAGGTAAAACAAACAAACAACCACAACAACAACAACAAAAGCAAAACCCTCCTACGTTGGGTTCCATACGTAAGAATGAAAGTAAAAACGTGAAAGTCACTTTGTTTTTTCCATTGTAGGCACTCTTCCTCCCTCTGCATATCTGGAAAATTAGCAAGCTGTATATTTAATGTGTGTGAGGCATAAAATCATGAGGATGAGGAGAAAAGAGCAGCTTAAATCTCTCTGGTCATGGACAGTATTCACTTAGTAAAGGATTGGCATTTTTTTTCATGTTTTATCACATCATCCTGAAAACTTCTCACCATAATGAGCATTTTTCATCTTCCTAAGAAGGCAAAAAAGTTGTATGTGAAGTAGTGTAGCCAAGAAGACAAAGATGTTGCCTGCAAAGGGAATCTCCAGACATTATGTAAGTTTTGAGGGGGAAAAAAAAAAGACATGACCTTGAGATGTCCCAATGACCTCAGAGTTTAATGAGAGTTACAGAGTGGGAAGTAGGCAAGAGCATGAGGGGTGGACAGTTTGAGTGAAAGAGAGGAGGGAAACAGAGAAAATGTAAGAAAAACGTTCATGGTGATGTACAATGTGAAATTTTTTGCAAATTGAGTTGAATGACAGTGAGTGGGCAATATCCAAGTTTCTTCCCTCTATATGCTCAAGAGTTCACCTTTAAAGACTCCACTTCTGCCTTCTGTACTTCTGAATCATGTCTAGCTTCAACAGTATATCAAACAGAAGGGCTTAACTCATACTCTGTCATGTTTGTGCATGTAAACCTACAGAACGGGACACAGAGCCCTAGACTTGTGTGACCCATGTCAAAGCAAATGTAATGTTTTGGTTTCATCCTGAAATCTTGCAAGGCAAGACAGAGATTATATGCATATCTTCCTTAATTCTTAATCAAGAGTCCTATTTTAACTTCATTTTGTCTCTACAACCTGTGCAGTGTTTCTAGTAAGGAAAGATTCCATAATTGCATGTCCTTTCTTTTAGAACATAGAAGTAATGTTCATGTGGCAATATAGATAGTTTTTAAGTTTATCTTCATAAATGTCTGTATGAGTTTTTAGGCCTTTCAAGAAAGCTATGTTGACTCATTTATCATATTGACAAATAAACAAGTTCTAGAAACAACTGAAAATACGGTTTAAGTTAAGTGACTCCTAAATGGCAATGAATGTCACCTGAATTCTATGCTTGTTCTTGAGAGAGATTCCAGCATCTAAGAGAGTGGTTCTCAACCTGAGGGCTTCAACCGTTTGGGAGTCAAGGGACTCTTTCACAAGGGCTCCTTAGACCACTGGGGAACACAGATATTTACATTACGATTCACAATAGTAGCAAAATTACAAAGATGAAGTAACTACAACAATAATATTATAGTTGGGGATCAGCACAATGTGTGAAACTCTATTAAAGGGTCGCAGCATGTGGAAGGCTGAGAACCACTGACCTAGATGAGGTATTGAGGTGAATGTCTTCTTTCTACCTATATAAGCTCTCTGCTCATGTATATTCCTAGCTCAGAAAAAAATAAGACAGTAAGTTGTTTTTTGTTTGTTTGTGTGTTTGTTTTTAATCAAGATAGTCAGCTCACCAAGTCTCCTGGTGCTCTAACCTTTGATTCTCAAGTGAGTCAGGTCTGTCTGCAACTGCTTCATGTGGATTAAATGGCCCGGAAGATCTCAGGAGACATTTTAAGGCAGAGCATACTTTTCACTGTGCCTTACACTGTGCATTAGTCATTTAAAAATGTAAACAGATTAAAAATAAGAAAGCCCAGACAGGTAAAATAAAGTATGAATTGGCGATAATAACACAAAAAATAGCAACAGATTGAAAAAGAGGGTGCAAGATGTAGCAAAAATCAGTAGAAAACAGGAAGTGCAACAGTGGTAATAAGCATACAAATTTCAAGAGGCAAAATTCAGCAGAGTGAATGTTCAGAATGAAGGAAAGTAAGAAAACTAGGATTAGTGAGACAAGGTATTGAGCCATGAAATCCAAGAGACCTGACTTTGAAAGATGCCACTGACTTTACATTGTTAAACCTAAGAAGTGACAGAGATACACAGAAAGAGGAGGGAGGAGAGTTCCAATTTACCTTGCCACCAGTAGAGGTGACAAGATCTGTTAATTTGAATTCCTTTTTTTAAATACAAAATTTGTATTGCGTTTGAGGATCTCATACATGATTATGTATTTATGTAATTATGTATTTACATTTCTAAACTTCTTTCTCCTGCTTCCAACACAGACAGCTGTATTCACTGTCTTGCTATTTCTTTCTCAAATTCATGACCTTCTCTTCTTTAATTAGTTACACACAGTATATGAATATGCACACACAGGAAAACTTACGCATCTACAGAATTTGTTTAGTCTTTGTTCTTGGTTTATACATAAAATAATGTTTCTCACAGACACTGTGCAGTGAGCTGTACATGAGTTCCTGATGGGTACTATTAGTTGGAAGTATATAACCTGATTTTTACTTGTAGGAACTTTCAGGTAAGAAATTTTGTCTTTTTGTTTTTGTTTTTGAGACAAGACATCACTATGTAGCTCTGGAACTCACTACGTAGACCAGGCTGACCTCAAACTCACAGAGATTACCCTGCCTCTGTATTCCCGAGTTCTGGGATTAAAGATGTGCACCACTATACCTGGCTGAGATTTGGAGATTTTAAATAATTTGAACATTTGAGGATTTGAGTTATTTTTGGAATAAAACTTTATTTTACACAATGATAGTAAAATGAAATTTGGGGGGAAGGGTGAAAACTTATGGCTTTAAAGTGTTATTTGTGTGACAAGTTGTCAAAGGGTGGACTGTACTGATTGATTTGAATTATCAAATTGTCATAAGATGGAATCACTTTAGATAAGAACCTCAATTGAGGAAATACCTAGATCAGGATAGTGTATGAGTATGGAGGGGTGTCTTGATTATTAATTGCTGTAGGAAGTCTCAGCCTATTGTGAGCAGAAGACACTATTTTAACAGCTCGGGCCTGAACTGTCTAAGAATGAATAAAAGCTTCCTGATTGTAAGCAACACAGCAAGCATGAAGGCAGCAAAGTATTCATTTTTTTTCTCATCCCCTAATTGTGGACATGATGTGACTAGCTACCTCAGTTCCTGTCTTGACATCTCCACATGATAAACTCCACCCTGGAATAATAAGCCAAATAAATTCTTTCCTCCTTTATGTTGTTTATTTTCAGGATATTTTGTTACAGCAACAAAAATAAAATTAGAACAGCCATCAATGTCCAGTTGTCCCAGACAAAGAGGGGGTGGGTATACAGAAAACAACTATTCCAGAGAAATATTTGAGGGGTGGGGATGTAGACAATGAGAAACGTGAAGAATTACTAACAACTAGCACTTCCAAATGTGGCAAAATACAACCCTATGTAAAAAGATGCAAATTGCAAAAAAAATCCTCAATGAATGAAAAAAATAGACATCATAGTCAAGTTGAAAACTAAAAACAACAAAAACTGAAAGCACAGTGTGGGAGATTGCAAATATTTCTCACCAGAAACCACAAAGGCCAGAATGAACTGGGAGAACACCTAAAAAATGTTAAGTGCAACATTTTGTTAACTTACTGTCCTACCATCAGGGAAAAGTTGGTGTGAGAATGGCAGGAACAGGCATTCTGAGATGGGGCCAAGGTAAGAAGTTTCCTTGTGCCATAGCCTCCTCTAAGGAATGGGGGAAAGTGCTTGAGGTCAGAAAGGAAACTGAACTTGAAGAGTCAGAAGAAAGACAGAATTATGAGGGATGAGGAAGGAGCGAAGGCCTCAGACTCTTCTGCCTTTGGTTCTCAGCGTGAGGGAGGACGACACCCGAGACAGCTGTGTCATAGAAAGGAGACAGGGGTCCTCCATGCTTGCAGTTCTTCTCTTCACATCGACAGTGGTGTTAGCAAAGTCTCACAGGCTTCCTGTGCGCATTGAGCAACATGGAACAGTGACAGCGAGGATGGTAAAAGAGATGCAACAAAAGAGTGAAGATGGACAAAAGCAATCACTTGGAAAGTGTTCAAGAATCACTATGGGAAGGGCAAATGAAAGAGAAATAGGTGGGAAAACGGAAAAAAAATATTATGGCTTAAACAACAGTAAATAATCAGACATAGTCAACCTTCATTTGTAATGGAGAGGGAAAAGGATAATCAAACACGGCCAGATTATTTACTATCTAAGCAGAGAAAATGACTGTTAATAAAGAGGAACATTACATAGGAAGATGGACATTCACCTGAAAGATCTGCCAGTCTTTTGTCTCTTTACTGCCCTATGTACACATAACAATCTTTCTAATACAAGGGGGAGAGTTTCCAGAACTGAGTGGAAAAAGGCAGACTGCCAGGAGTTTCAGTGAATCTTTCTCTGGAGTTGACAAAGTCAGAAAGGGAGAAGATGGCAAGAATGTAGAGGGACCAAGTGAGGCTCGATAAGGCAGATAAGAGAACTATGGATGCAAGTCAATAAGAAAGCATAGTCTTTTTTTAAAACTGGATAGGTGCTCTAACCAACATCTAGGACATCTCATTTCTTCAACTAGAATGGCATATTTATGATGATAAATTAAGTCAACAAATCCATCTTGACATACCCACAAGAAGTAAAATTACACACAATATGTTTTCTGGTTATAAAATCATGCTGGAACTCTTTCCTCGACAGATAGGAAGAAAATCTCAAACTCTTTAGAATCTGAACATCTTTTTTTCTGGGGTAGCAGGCTGCCACTATCAGCCTACAGCCTCGTCCTCCTGTACCTGCTACCAATATCCCGACCCAGTACACAGCCAGGCACCCTGGCCTCTTTCCTACCTTTTGAAGGGTTATGTGGGGTTGCTTAAAGCCTAAATGGAACAAGCAGCCCACGAAGGGCAGGCGCCATGGCCCTGGAGGGTAGTTCTTGGGGCGCCGGTTTGTGAGGTAATCAGCCAGGAACAGGAAGGTGACAGCAGCCAGCAGAAAAGTCCGGAGATGGAACGCTGCCCAGATGGCAGCCAGCAGGGAATCCCCTGCGGCGAGCATGGCTGGTACCTGAGCAGGCTTTCCTGGGAAATGATGGTCTGTGCTGGGGCTGGTCCCAAGGGCCAGCGTCTGCAGCTCCTAGAATGGGCCAGCCCCTTGGCTAAACCATCCTAGTCCTCATGGCCCCGCCCATCTCTCCCCCTGCGGACTCCTCCGCCCATCTGCTTTCACTTCCGCACTTTAGGCTTGGCAGTGACCTCTCCTGAAACTTGCCTATCTGCTCCCTAAGCTTCAGCAGAGCGTTTTGCCCTTCGCCCCTTCACTTTCACCCAGTCTTCTCAAGGACCCAAACAAGCCCCTGGCCCCGCCTCAACACGGTTGGTCGAGCCCCTTCCCAAGTTCCAGGTCCGGTCCTCAGGCTTTGGCACCTATTGCTGTTGGGGCATTGGGGCGGATTCCAGGAAAAAGGCACTTGAGAATGTCCTTACTGGCTGAAAGCCTGGCTCATTCAGAAGGTATTTTCCTCTGTTCATCCAGCTTGTGATTTGGATGCATCCCAGAGAACATCGCGTGTATCTGAACTCCTATTTTATAAACTGACTTTCACCAGGGACTACAGTCTTCGAAAACATTGCACACAATGTTTCTGCACTGTACCCCAGGGAGCACTCTGGCCTCTTCAGAACAGCTCACCTTGCTCTGACAGTGCTAAGCAAGGTGGAGGAGTCTGGTAATGGAATTTTGCCTCTTGGCCTTGGAAGATGTTGGTTTAATCTAAAGTTCAGTTTCTCAGAGACTGACCTCCTTACTTGATCCAGTTGCAGGGTGCTCTGTTCCTGAGAACTAGGTAATAAACGTCCTGTAACCTTGTGTGAATCCTTAGGTGTTTTGTCAAGCGCCACAAATGGGCTGTTGCTATGAGAAACTTGCTTGTGGCTTTTTGCCTCAAAAAAAGCTTTTTGATCTTTTCCAGTTTCCACCATTTACCTGCAAATTTCATGATTTCCTTGTTTTTTATTGTGTAAACGTACCATAATTTCTGTATCCATTCCTCCACTGATGGGCATCTGGGTTGTTTCCAGGTTCTGTTTATTACAAAGAAAACTGCTAGAAACATGGTTGAGCAAATGTCCTTGTTGTGTACTTGAGCATCTTTTGGATATATGCCTAGGAGTGGTATGGCTGGATCTTGAGAAAGCTATTCCTAGTTGTCTGAGAAAGCACCAGATTGATTTCCAGAGTCGTTGTACAAGTTTACATTCCCACCAGCAGTGGAGGAAGGTTCCCCTTTCTCTACAACCTCTCTAGCATGTGTTGTCACTTGAGTTTTTTATCTTAGCCATTTTGACTGGTGTAATGTGAAATCTCAGGGTTGTTTTGGTTTTCATTTCCCTGATGACTAAGGACACTGAGTATTTCTTTAAGTGTTTTTCAACCATTCAATATTCCTTTATTGAGAATTCCCTGTTTAGCTCTGTACCCCATTTTTTAATTGGATTACTTGATTTGTTGTTGTTTAGCTTCTTTAGTTCTTTATATATTCTGGATATTAGCCCTCTGTCAGATACAGGGTTGGTGAAAATCCTTTCCCAATCTGTAGGCAGTTGTTTTGTTTTGAGACAGTGTACTTTGCTTTACTGGAAAAGATCACCCTGAGTGAGATATCCCAGAAGCAGAAAGACACACAGGGTATATACTCACTCATAAGTGGATATTAGACATATAATATAGGATAAAAATACCAAAATCTGTACACCTAAAGAAACTAATCAAGAAGGAAGACTCTGACTAAAATTCTCAATCCCCATTCAGAAAGGCAGAGAGGATGGACATCAGAAGAGGGAGAAAACAGGGAACAGGACAGGAGCCTATGACAGAGGGCCTCTGAAAGGCTCTGCCCTGCAGACTATCAAAGCAGATGCTGAGACTTATGGCCAACTTTTGGGCAGAGTGTAGGAAATCTTATGAAAGAAGTGGGAAATAGTAAGACATAGAGAGGACAGGAGCTCCACAAGAAGAGCAACAGAACCAAAACATCTGGGCACAGGGGTCTTTTCTGAGACTGATACTCCAACCAAGGACCATGCATGGAGATAACCTTGAAGCCCTGCACAGATGTAGTCCATGGCAGTTAAGTGTCCAAGTGGGTTCCATAGGGGAACAGGGACTGTCTCTGTCATGAACTGATTGGCTTGCTCTTTGATCACCTCCCCCTGAGCGGGGAGCAGTCTTACCAGGACACAGAAGAAGACAATGCAGCCACACCTGAAGAGACCTGATAGACTGGGATGAGAAGGAAGTGGAGGAAGACCTCCCCATCAGTGGACTGGGGGATGGGCATGGGTAGAGAAGAGGAAGGAGCTTGGGATTGGGAGGGGAGGAAGGGAGGGAGCTACGGGGGCGATACAAAGTGAATAAATTGTAATTAATAAAAATAAATATTAAAAAAAACACCTGTTTGAGTGCTTTATAAATGAGTCTTGATCAGAGACCTGTCTTGACTCCATTCTTCATGTCTCTGCCCCAATCATTCCCACTCTCTCTTTCAGGTAAATCCTGCTTGACTTGCTCTGCCAGTCAAGGTGAGTAAGTAAATCCACAGATTCTTAGCTAACATTCACTGAAGAAAAATCCTGGTCTTGTTTTTTTGTTTGTTTGTTTGTTTTTGTTCTTTCCCTTAGTGAACTGAACTCTGCCCTTGAACATGCTAGGCAACCTTTCCACCCATTTGTTTTCTTGCTTTCTCCCTTCCTATTAACTTTCAAGATTGGTATGTAATTTAATGGATTTCATTTAGCACTTTCATGTCTTTCTATTTTCATATATATATGAATATATATATATATTTGGCACTCTTCCACACCTTTCCTACACTACTCTTGTAGGTCCTGCCCTTTCCCAGGATTTTCCCTTCTGAATTTTGGGCGCATATTTTCCATTTCCCTTTCCCTAACCCCCTTAAGATCTGCTCCTTCCCTCTGTTGGTCCCGTTCTTAACCTCAGATCCAGACCATCTACTCATACATGGTTTATTCTAGGTTAGTACTGCAGAAAACAAGCTCTAAGAGATGACCAATTGAGACACCATATCCCCTATAAATATGAGTTCCTATTAAATCACCTTCATAGGTTTCAGGAAGTTTTCACTGCCCCAGGTTTCCATGCTACCCTCCAGATACCTCCAATTCCATCTCTCTTTGCACTCTCTTCTTCCAACAAATTGTCCTCTCACCTCCTGTCCTGCTTCCTGCCCCTACCTTTTCCCAATCTGCCATAAAATCTATTTCATTTCTTTTTCCCAGGGAGATCCATGAGTTGTTCCCCTCCCACACACAGACCAATAAGCTGTTTAAGATTTGTCCTTTTGTCAGGTGTGTTGACACACACCTGTAATACAAGCACTCGGTGAGGCAAAAGCAGGTGGATCTCTGTGAGTTTGAGGCCAGCATGGTCTACAAAATGAATACAGGATAGCCAGGGCTACATAGAGAAACCCTGTCTTGAAAAACAAAAACAAAAACAACAACAACAAAAACACACAAAAATATGTCCTTTCCCATCATGATCAAGTCTATAATTCCTTATAAAGAAGTAGTTACAGATCATTGTGGAGAATTTTGACATGGATAAATTTATATAATACATTAAGCTGACCATCTGCTAAATCTTTGTAAGGGGCCTAGGTCCAATTTGTACATGGTCTTTGGTTAAGGGAAGTGGGGACTATATGGAACAGGACTCAGTTGCCAGCTTTTTGGTCACTTTCCCCTGGCAGGACTGCTTTGCTAGGCCACAGGGGAAGAGGACATGTTCAGTCTTGATGCAACTTGATGAGCTGGGAGGATGGGAAAAGGAGCTTCCTTTTTCTGGTGAAAGGGAGAGGAGGGAAGGAGGGAGGGAGTATGGGAATTGGAGGGGAGGAGAGACGGGGCTTCAACAATGTAAATTGTAATGCAATGTAAAGTGAATTAAAAAGAGAAAAATATGAATATCCTGTTGATGTATAATTACAGTAGGTAATGAAAAGGAAGGAAGGGTAAGTAACTGATAAGGAAGTAAGGAATTAATCCTACCAATTAAGCAGGAGCATTATATAATAAGCTAACCAACCACTCTTCTTCAAGTGTTATGTTTCTTATTGAATTTGACTGAAAGTCTACTCAATAGTGATAGGAAGATAAGAGTATACCCAACTGCCATGGCTCAGATTTTTAAATGTTGTTCTTTAGTGTATTGATCATGAAAGTTAAGTACTCACTTAAGTATTGGCTGGATGAACTAGCAAAGAGAATCTATTTAATGAATGATCAATAACTCCAGAAGCTTCTACAGTGATTGACAAGTATTTTTATTCATTTTTTTCATGGGCTACTTCCATATTATCTCTTAAACACTTTCAATTATTTTCTTTTACAATTTGTTTATTATATATACCGATTGAAGCCCTCTCCCTCAACTCCTCCCAGTCTTACCCTCCCTCCCTAGTCGACTGAAAGGAGGAGTTCTCATTTGCCATCTGCCCATAGCTTATCAAGTCTCATCAGGACTGCCTGGATCCTCTTCCTCTGTGGCCTCTCAAGGCCGCACTGCCAGGGGAAAGTTATCAAAGAGCAGGCAACCGAGTTCATGACAAAGGCAGCTCATGCGCCCCTTACTCAGGAACCCACATAGAGACTGAGCTGCCAGTCAGGTACATTTGAGCAGGGGGTCTCTGTCCTCTCTGTGTATGGTCCTTGATGTATGGTCCTCCATGTATGGTGCATCAGTCTTTGCAGGACCTCCTGGGCTCAGACTTTTTAGCTTCATTGGTCTTTTTGTTGGGCTACGGTCCCCTCTGTGACCTTCTATCCCTTCTTCTTCCATAAGACTCCCTGTGCTCTGCCCAAAGTTTGGCTGTGAGTCTCAGCATCTGCTTCAATCCCCTGTTGGGTGGAGCCTTTCAGAGGACCCTCTATAGTAGGTTGTTCCTGTTCCATCTCTTCTACCACTTAAAGTTACTTGTCCAAAGTTGTAAAGGTGTTACTCTAAATATTTTGCTTCTTTGGATCTTAAAAAGTATCTCCATAATTGGATAAAATTATTTGTCTCAAAGGACTGACTGAAACCTATATTTATTTCTCTCTAATGGTTGCTAACACTTGGGTGAGAGACAAAATTCCTCCCTTTTATTTGTTTTT